AAAATAATAAAATAAGACAAGGATAGCAATGTACCCTGATGAAAGTTATGTGAATATGGTTTCTCTCTCTCTCTCAAAATATCTTACTCTACCACGCTCACCCCTCATCTGGTGATGATGGGATTCATGGTTCAGGCTGTGACTGACCAGGGGGAATAAAAACCACAGAAAGTGAAGCCACAGGTGAGAGGGGTCTGTGGTACTAAAGAGAAGCGAAGGAGGAGGTGTGGTGGGTGCTGGTGGTGCCCAACCCAGAGATCTCCTTCACTAAGGGGTGTTTTCCCAGCTGCTAGAAATGTTGGACATAAAGTGGTCCCAGCTGCTGCTCTCTCTAGAGCTTTGTCCTCAGCCCAATGGGAGCTACATCCCCAAGAAGGCTACCCTACCACATTGTCCCCTTCCCACATAGGGACAGCCAATGGACAATTGCCCCTGGCCAGAAGGAGTCAAGTCTGTGTCGCCATTCATATCCCAGAACTTTCCATACAATAAGGCTGAAGCAGACCCCAGTGGAGACCATTTCCTTGCTTAGTAATCCCCTGCCCCATCCTGGCCTCCTTATTCTCTTTCTCTGGAGCATATTTTCAGGAAAAAAGCCACATGTACTCAAATTCTTGTCTTAGCTCTAGGGAACCTGAGCTGAGACAGAAATTTACACAGGTGGAGCCTGCTGAGCACCAGGAGCAATTTGAGCCTCTATAAAGACAGCGTGAGATGGGTGTTATTATCTCATTTCACAGATGAATAAACTGAGGCTCAGGGAGATCTCACTAAAGGGGTACAGGCAGCTGATGAGCACCTGGGCCAGGACCAGCAACTCTGTGTGACCTTCTGCTCAGCTCCATGTCCTCGGCCTCTGTACTTTCTTTCACCTATCACCTGGTACCCAGGCATGTGACCCAAACTTTACCTTGCAGTGAGGCCTGGCTATGAATGAGAGCTAGCAGGGTCTCGTGAGGTGGGCTTCTCAGTGGCCGTGCTCTTAGGCAACTCACACAGGCAAAGCTGTGTAGGTTGAAAGAAGTCCCATGGGTATGGGGCATGATGACTATATCCAGACTGACTCCTGTACTTAAGTACTCCGGTACTTAAGGGTTGACTCCTTTTGAACATATATTAAAAAACAAAACAAAACAATTTCCCATGTTCTTTTATCCACATTAAAAGTTTTTCCTGCATTTCTTCCCTGAGCATATCCCTGAAACATGTAGGGTTTTGCTCCATATTCTAAAGAATTCCAGGACACTTGGGTGACACACTTGGATGAAACAAGACAGAACAGATCCACAGACTCCTTTTCTGAAGTATAGTTGCTCATGGTGGCCAAGTAGGTTGGGGTCATTGTCCCTCTGGGTCCTCAGTTTTCATTACATGCATTTTGTAAAATGGTGCTCAGGTCCCATTATGGTTCTAACAGGTCCAGGATTCCTTGAGAGGATGCGGCCTTAAGCTACAGCAGGAGTGATTCAGTGAGGCCAACATGGCAGGAACACAGACCCCAGGGCCCATGTGAGAGGGGACAAGGACCTTAGCCTATGAGAGACCCTAAAATCTGAGCTAGTAGGGTTGCAGAAGAGTGGTGGGGAGGTAAGAAAAGAGTCATCAGGGAAACCTGAGCACCAGCAGCAGATTTGCAAAAGCAGAATCTTGGCAGGATGGATGCTGGTTTCCCAATCTACATTCCACCCCGGAGGCTCCATCCAGCTGCCTCACTCCTCAGCTTTCACAGCTGTTCACATTGGGGGCTCCTCCAGTGGAACCCATCAAATTTAGAGCAGGGGTCTTGTGGCTGCCTTAGTCACAGGTGCTTATACTCACCTGCAGGGTGACATTCTGCCCTGGGTGATGGTCTTCCCCAGATGCCAAACAGTGATGTGAATGGTTATCACAAGAGTTGTCTGCTAGTCTCCTGTTTTTATACCTTAGTGAAAAGATATTGGGAGATTTCAAGGAGAAGACAGACTGGTACTTGGGATAAGTGAGAGCATGTTGGAACCTTTGGGAGTATGTACCTAGATCCATCATTGTGAGCTGTCATTCTGGGGCTCTAGCTGTGGATCTTCTAGGAGAGCTAGATTCCCTCTCTCTCTGGGAAGCGTCAGTGGGGGGGATAGGGAAAAGTTGGTTGGTAGGTACCAAAATACAGTTAGGAAAAAAAAGTTGTGGTGTTCTATTGCAGAGTAGGGAGACAATAGATAATGATGTTATGCTGTATATTTCAAAAAGTTAGAAGAAAGAATTTCGAATGTTGTCAATGCAAAGAAATAATAAATATTTCATGAGATAGATTTGTTTACTCGGATTTGAACATTACACAAGGTATACACGTATCAAAATATCAAATGTTACCCCATAAATATATATACAATTTTATGTGTCAATTAAAAAAAACTTTTTAAAGGCAATTAAAAAAAAACTAAAAAAAGCAAATAAAAGAAACCCTGGTTAAACATAGTCCTGCTGGAGCAGAGAGTTTTGCTTGTCCATTGCTCCTTAGTTACCAGAAATGTGCTCTCCTGTCCTAATGAGACCCCCAAGGGTTTATAAATTTCCCCTGGCCTAGTTGGAACTGACTCTCTGATGGCAGAAGAGGTTAAAAATGTGTTTTAAGCTTCAGGCAATTAGAACAACCTTGCAGAACCCCTGACACCGTGAGGACTTATATTGGATTTTATCTAATATTAACATGATCGAATGCCATTGAGCGTCATAGGTCTAAGAGGCACCTGCTTCTTTAGGAGAGCATTTTCTAAGTTTGGAACTTAAGACAATATGACACTAGGGGTCCAGAACTTCTCAGGAAAATATAATCAGGAAATGAAAGTTGTCCAGGAATTAGTGCCTGAGGCTCCTATTTTAAATACAAGGCCGACAGAGGTCACACATGACTTCATTCACAGGCAGCCCTGAAGGAGAGAGGGAGCCCTTTCTACTCAAAAACTGCTAGAAAGTCCATCATGGGGGCAGTGAATCTCAAAGTGTGGCCACAACCCTTTAAACCCAGCTCCATCAGCATCTCCTGAGAACTTGTTAGAAATTCAGATTTCGGGTCCCTATCCCAGTCCGGCTGAATTAGAAATGGAGCCCGAGGTGGATGGGTGTAACAATCTGTGTTATTACCAAGTTCTCTAGGGGACTCTAACACCTGCTTCAGTCTGAGGATCATTACTCCACACCAAATAGAGAGGATTCCATCCAGGCAGTCTTCAGGTGCATTTTGATGGACTGGTGTAGCATTCATAATTTTTGAACTGGTTTCCAATGTTTCAAAGTGCATATTTTTCCCCATGAAAACATAGATTTCTAACTTTTCTTGAGGGAAAAAAAATAGGAAGATCTCTAGTCACAGGGGACCCACATATCTGCTTGGCAATAATTGTCTGGGATTGAGAAAGGGTATGAGTCATAGGAAGGGCTCGAGCCCTCCTGGGAGCAGTGGGCCCTCATTACCTATGTGGCTGGCTGCACTCATTTCCACCTGCAGACATTTGAACCGTTGGTCTGTGACCTCTATAATGTCTAGAGTCACCTCAAGCTGAAGTTCATTCAACATGCATTTGCTATCCACTGGAACTTTCTGCGCCCTTGTCACCTTTCCTCCCTGACCCTTGTCGCTCGCCTCCCACCCCATCTTCAACTCCTTCCACTTTTTTCTAAAATGAAGAAAAAAAAAAAGAACAGACTTAGTGCAATACCCAGAGCACAGCGTGCGAGTCAGTTAATATCAGCAAGAAAGAGGTTTATTTGTTTAACCTTCCCTCCCCTCAGATCTCATGCCTGAGAAAGTGACTCATTATCACGTCCAGGAAGGAAGGGACAGTGCCTCTCTGTTGGGCCTGGGAAAGCTTTTTATCTATGAATTGGGGGTCATCAGAGGTGGGCAAGCTCAATTTTTTCAGCAGCGGTGGCCCCTTCGTCTGAGATTGCCTGGGACAGTGGACGCTCATAGACTGTCTTCTCTGTGCAGAAACTGAGCTGAGCTCTGAGGACATATGCAGGTGATGCAATTCTATCTTTCTTTCTTTCTGAGAGGGTTGGCAGGGTCAGCAGGCAAAGGTCAATCTGCATCATCAATCCCAAACACATTGTCCTAAACATTCCCTTGTTGGTGGCAGATACTCTATGACCCTCTATGCAGTTCCTTTAGTGGCCCTTTTTACAAAGCTAAGTATCTCTATGTGGGGTCCATTAGGTCAATTGGCTATTAAGTGAGGGGCATGTTCTGGGGAAGAAATGAAAGTGAAAATTTGGTGGAAGAGAGGTTAGTATAGGACATGCATGTGGAAGGGAGGGAATGCTCACAAAGATACGCTTCGTTTTCCTAAATCAGCCCTGACTTGAGAACCCAAAGCATCTTCAACTGGAGATCATTTTCTTATTTCTGGCTGTATACCTGTGACATAATTTTATGAGTCATACATCCATTGGGGCATTATGGACTATATTAACCAGAGTTTTCTAAAGAGACAGAAAAAAATAGTCAATCAATCGATCAATCAATCAATCATCTACCTACTTATCCATCCATCCAGAGGTGAGAGGAATTCATTAAGGGAATTGGCTCATGTGATTATGGAGGCCAAGAAATCCCATGATAGACCATCTGCAAGCCAGAGAACTTGGGAAGTTTGTAGTGTGGCTCTGTCCTAGTCATGAAGTCTCAGAACCACAGAAACTGATACTGTGACTCTGTGTGAGGCCAAAGGCCTGAGAATTTGGGGAACTGCTTATACAAATCCTGGAGACCACAGGATGGAGAACCTAGATTTCTGATGTCCATGGGCAGAGGAAGGATGCCTCTACTTCAAAAGAGAGAGTGTGAACTTGTCTTTCTTTTGCTTTTTTGTTCTATCCAGGTCCTCAGTCCAGGATGGGTGAGGACGGATCTTCCTTACTCAGTCCACTGATTCAAATGTCAATCTCTCATGGAAACACCCTCAGAGACATATGCAGAAATAGCACTTCACCAGCCACCTGGGTAATCCTTAATCCAGGCAAACTGATACCTAAAATTAACCATCCCAGCACCCATGGTACTTGGGTGAGAGTAGGAACAAAGCGGGATTTTCTGATGGGTGTCTGGATGCTAACTGCTTTTTAGGATGATCACAATAAAGAGATGGAGGGAAGGCAGTTCCCCATGGAGCTGTAGGGAATGGGTAGTGTTACCAGGAGGCTGCAGGAGGATTATCAGGTAGGAAGCTGAAGTGAAAGCTGAGGGAGGGATGGGTAAGGGGCATGAGGGGTGGGTAAGAGGAGCGAGGGGTGAGGGAAGACAGAGCAATTGAAGCCGGACTCCCATGAATATGGAGGAGCCATGTGATATTCCATGGAGCTCGTTTGTCTCAGAGAAAGGCAGTTCTTGAATGATGGCTGTGGTCAGTTGAACACGTTATTAAAAAATGGTAGGAAGTGGGGCTGAGGTGTAGCTCAGTGGGAGAGCACTTGCCTAGCACCTGTGAGGCACTGGGTTCGATCCTCAGCACTACATAAAAATAAACAAATAAAACAAAGATATAGTGTCCGCCTATAACTATTAAAAAAATTTTAAAAGATGATAGGAAGTGGAGAGCAGGGAGGAAGAGGAGGAATCATGAACTGTTGTCACACAGGGAAGCCTCCCCTCAGCCTTGCCGAATATGGAATTATATTCCCTCGTGGTCCAGGGAGCTGAGGATCCTTTGAGATCTAACAGAGACAGCTCTGCCCGGCTCTCAGCTCGATTCCTCCCTGAGATATCCGTAATGCACAGGGGGCTAGGGTTCTCATGGTCATTTCTCAACTCCTGTTTTCATCCCCACTCACCTCCTGGGGTATTTTCCCCCCTCTGCACTGTGCACTGCGAACTCTTCCTTGTCCCACGCCCTGCCTCCCTCTTAGTCTACACTTTTTGTGTGAGTGACAGATATTATCACAGGTTTGGAAGCAGTGAATGACTTTTCAACCCGATCAATGTAAAAAGATACTCCTGATCTTAAAAGTCCTATTTTCACCAGACTGGCCCCAGTGTCTTCTCTTCCCACCTGTTTCTCATCTCTACTGCTCACAGGATTCTCTCCCAACCCCACAGAATGCCGATAGCTTTTTAACGCAGCGCATGTTAGCTACCAGCTTGCTCCACTGGCCCCTTGCAGACCATTCTCTGGGGATCTTGTCCTCCTTACCCAAAATGACCCATCATAGCCATTTTCTTAATAAATGTATAAGAGACACCGGTGCCAGCCCAAAATAACAACTTTGTGTATTTGGTGGTACTGGGGATTAAACCCAGAGGGGCTCTCCCATTGGGCTACATACCCAACTCTGTATTTTAAAATTTGAATCAGGGTCTCACCAAGTTGCCAAGGCTGGCCTTGAACTTGAGACCCTCCTGCCTCAGCCTCCTGAGTCGCTGAGATTACCAGCGTGCACTGCCACACTGGACAAATGACAACTTTTCCACCCTGCCACATCATATTATAGCTGAGGACTCTGCGGTTCGGAGAAATGAAACATTCTTGCTGGACACAGTTTCTGAGCTACTTGGGAGACTTCTGAAGGGGGCTTCCTGCCCCTCAGGAACCTGGAGATGTGGAGAAAGTGGCCTTAGCTTGGTGAGGTCTGGTCTTACTGTTCTTTCCTTAGGACAAGAGGCTCCTCTCCTCCTACTCCTTGCTCTGTTTAAAGCAAGGTTGTGTGAGAAGGCTCCGAGGCACCTGGCGTTCTCCTAATTTGCTCTTTGGGGAGAATAGCCACGCATATTGGGTAAGGCCAAAGTGCTGCTCCGTCAGCAAGTTCCATCTCTGCAGCGATAGCCAGCCCAGCACACTTTTCTCCGTTTAACACACCACGGGTACATTGTACCTCATAGCTCAGAATCAATAAAGTCAAGGCAATTTCCTTAACATCCCATCAATAAGAGATTATGGAAGGGGGAGGGTTTTCTTTAGAAGCTAATGCCTTACTAAAGTTCAAATGAGGCAATATATAGTAAAATAAATTCA